TCTCTCTCTCTCTCTCTCTCTCTTTCTTTCCCTCACTCTCTCTCCTTTCTCTCTTTCTCTTCCTCCCTCCCTGTCTCTCTTTCTTTCCCTCCCTCCCTGTCTCTCTCTTTCTTTCTCTCTCTCATATCTGTCTGTTTCCTCCCTCTCTTTCTCTCCCTGTCTCTCTCTTTCTCTTTCATCTCTGTTTCCTCCGTCTCTCTCTCTCTCTCTCTGTGTCTTTCTCTTTCCCTCACTCTCTCTCCTCTCTGTCTTTTTCCCTTCCTCCCTTCCTCTCTCTGTGTGTCTCTCTTTCTCTCCCTCCCTCTCCCTGTCTCTTTCCTCCCTGTCTGTCTGTCTCTCTCTCTCTCTCTCTGGTTTTTGTTTCCAGGCGCTTGTGCCCTTTTGAAGTGGAAAGCCACGTGAAAGTCAACTGTTGCCAGCAGTATTTATCCTTCTAAATCAACGCTTAATCACTAATTAATTTTTTTATACAACAGGAGTTTTAAACTTATTACCAAACGACGGTTGGCAAGAAATGAGGGGCTACATTAGGCCTCAGAACGTTCCGTCAGAAGCATTAGGGACCGTAATTTCTTCTTGTCGCTCTGCTTTAAAAAAACAAAAAAATTACAATACCCATTTGAACTATTTTGCCCTAATTCTATTTGGAGGCTTTGCTAAGTGGAAATCCGGGCTCAGGCATTCATGATTGAAGAGACCGATCAGATCAGATTTTTGGCCGCTTCTCGAGAGTTTTGAACCCATTTGAGGCACAGAGCCTACCTTGTATTATTATGGAGGAGATCCAGTCAACTGAATTAATTTTCACCCGGAAGATACGGGAGTAACAGCTTCCCTAGGTTTCCTTCCTACTGTATTTGTCTTATTTTCTGAGCAGCACTTGTCTTGTTTCAGCACCTTGGACAGCTCCCGCCTCCCTTCCAAAGCTGGAACAGCCCCCCAAAATCTCATCTCAGTGGCTTCCCTCTGTCCCCCCCACCCCCCGCCACCCCAAAATTGGAGCTTATCTATTGGGGACGCACTGCTTGTTTCTACCTGTCAGCCACAGGTGTCGCAAAACATTAAAAAAAGATCTAATTGAAACCTTGGCAGTTTTCCCACTGCGAGTATTTTGTATATCTCCAGTTGAATTTTGACCGTGGGAGAGAAATTTCCTTTCCCCCCTTTGGTCCAATATCCTAAAGGCTAAAAAATGTGCCTCCTAATTCCCATTCTTCATTTTTCTACACGTTTCATTTTCATTGAGTTTCTATAATTCTCCTTTATTAAATCCTCCCCCTTCCAAAAATACTTTTGCAATCCCCAAACAAGAATAATTCCGAATTACCCCCATAATTGCAGAGGCAAAACTAATTGTGCTACCCTCTTACCCATTGAGTCTTTGTACAGTTCTGAAGACCTTATGCAAACCTTCGTCTGATTTGACATTTTCCTTGTGCCTAATGTGGAAAGAATTGAACAGGGGAAAAAAACAACACCTGGGAACAGCTAATCAAATATAGGCTTGTTACTCAACACGGTGATTGTGATTGATTTTTGAGCTGCTTGGTTAAACCAAAGTCATGTTTGAAGTGCATCTAGGTCATAATAATACCTGTGTAATATAAACATGAGACCACCTAATAGTCCATCGAGAGAAAATGTGATTAATTTCACTTTTGGCTTCATGGACTTCTTGCTTTCCTTCTTTGAGTTCATTCAGTGGGCCCCAAACATTCCGCTGCTAAGCAAAACAGTTGTTATGTGAGGTCTGCCACCTTTTACGACCTTTCCCACTCCGTTGTTAAGTGAATCGCTGCAATTGTTAAGTCAGAAACCCGGTTGTTAAGTGAATCAGGCTTTCCCGTTGGTCAGAAGGTCATGGTCGTGCTCCTGTTGGACTCTGATTCCGAGGGGGGTGGTCGAGCAGCTGACAGAGAGTGGGAGTGTGGCTCCGGTGGGTGGGGAGGAAACTGGGGAAGGGCACAGTCTGGCTGGGCATTCAGAGGAAGGCCCACCCCCTCTTCGTCCTAGGCCACGCAGGGGGGAATGGAGAAGGGACCAACATGAGTTACGGGGGAGAAAAGGGCCCTGATTCCCTTTATTAGCTGCAGCTGGGAAAACGGGATAAAGAGGTTGTTTGTGCACAGCACGTTGCTGGAAGCAAAGCATGAATTATCTTTGTTTGTCATGTCTTATCTGGGTTCTGGCGTCCTCCCCACCGTGTGTGTTTCGTTATTTTTTGTAGTCTGCAATTCCTTCTCCTGCTCCGTCTCGTTAATTGCTGCAGCTTGTGGTTTGTGTTGGTTTTTATTTATAATTTGTATGTACTTTGGGTTCGGACTGAATTCTTTCCCTTTAAAAACTGTTCTTGGGAGAGTTTTTTTTTTCTCCAGCCGATGATAACTGGACTTTGGGAGCCAAGTTGGAGGAATTAAAGGGACTTTACCTACTTTTGTGACTTTGTTGCTTTTGTGCCATGCCCCTTAGGGTCATCACAGTCACAAAAAGGGATCACATGACCCCCAGACCCTCATAAACACAAGTCGGCTGCCAAGCGTCTGAATTTTGATCCCGTGACCATGGGGATGCCACAATGGTCATCAGTGTGAAAAATGGTCTTAAATCCCCCTTTTTTTCAGCGACATCGCAACTTCAAGCAGTCACTAAGTGAATTGTTATAAGCCAAGGACCGTTGCATACCAACTGGGAAAGAAACAAGGAGAAACTACATTTTATATATATATAAATATATATTTAAACTGCTTGTAACGTCTACATTTTTGGGGGCTTCCAGGCTTCTTCTAATCGGAAACGGGTGGAAAACCTCGCCAAGAAGAAACTGGACTCTCTGATCAAGGAATCTAAAATCCGGGACTGCGAAGACCAAAATAATTTTGCCGTCACCACCTTGTCGTCCTCGGGGAAATTGGGGAACAAGCCTGATCTTAAGAAGGTGATTTTGGGGGGTTAAGCGGGGGCAGAGGGAGCCAATCCGAAAAGCTTAATGATAAAGCACGAATAAATCCATACGATAAAAGTTTTTGCAAAAAAAAATAATAACGTTTGGTAAAATCTATGTATATATCAAAGCAATATACCACTCAGGCATCATCACAAAATCTCCAGAACCGTAAAGCCTACAAACTTGGAAATTTGGCCTATATGTTCCTCTTGGCTTCTAGGGGATCCCTAAGAAAGGATTTTTCCAAATGACCCTCAGAGCATTTAGAGTATTTCCTATATTATTATTATTAACACGCTCTGATGCTAAGGCGTTCCACTCCCCCTCCTCACCTGAAAAAAAGAAATCTCTTCCAAAGGCAAAACACAAGCAGAGGAGTTTCAGTTTCACAGCAGCACCAAGCAGCTTTAGGACAGAACACTTGAGCTAAGCCATGCCCAGGTTCCTTGCTGTCTCCTTCTTGCTCACACAGCAAATACTCTTTCAGTTTCCAAACAGCCCTCAACTCTCTGACAGGAATTTTCCCCCTTGTTTTCCTCTCCCAAAACTGAGCCCGACCACATAGTTTTGCAGCGAAGCACGGGGATCGGGCTAGTATACATATAATACAAGTAGACCTCGATTTACAAGCCCACAGAGTTTCTGTTGTTAAGTGAGACGTTGGTTAAGTGTGTTTTACCCCATTTAATGACTTTCCTTCCCTAGTGTTAAGTGAAGCTGTCAGGATTCCGGCAGTTGCCCCATTTAAATCATGAGTCTCGAGCCAAACTTCCAAAAGGATTTATTGGGAGTTGCCATGTCCGGCACTGCCTGGGTGCAGCCGATCTGAGAGACGTCATTCATTGTCACCCTTGACCCTGGTTTCCCCTGGATGTATCATAAATCATATTCTCCAACGGGACACATCCATAGCCCAGAGTCATTAATCATACTCTCCAGTTAGAATTTTGCGTGGCAGAAACTTCAGTCACCTAGTTACTATCTTTGAAAACATTTATGGAATGCACTTTCGATTTCCCAGCTGCCGCACTGCTCTTTCAACCCCCTTTCCCACCCACCCCTTTCCCTTTCTGTTTGCAACTCTTAAAAAAGACCAGAGAAATATTTTATGAGTCGACAGAATCACTTTAAGTTGATCAGCACTTTCCACCGGGGACCCTGGGACGGGCGGACTTTTCTTTCTTCCAACGAATCCTGGCCAAATTGGCCTTTTTGATCGCTATATTTCTTGACACGCATAAGACATACGCACCTCTTTTCATCCTTTCTCATACACCTCCTTGAAGCACCGAGGCTCCACATGTAACCGGGGTCAACCCTGACTGATCACCCACCCGGTGGCTCTTCCTTCCTCGGTGAGGAGAAGTTGAGCGTTGAACAGTTAATGAGTTTTTGTGTGTGTCTGTGTGGTTTTTTTTCCCCCCTGTAATCATGATAAATATTTACTGCCCACTTAGGTTTCTCATTCGTCTCTCGCGCGCGCATGGCATCCAACACAGCGGGGACCACCAGGCGTGGAGGAACCTTCCCTCCTAAGCCATTAATATCACTTTCCAACCGGTTGCCCAGGGGACAGATGGCAGCCCCTGGCCAGCTGAGCAAAGGCAGGAGGATAGCCGAGCCGGAAAGGACCTTAGAGGTCTTCTAGTCCAGCCCTCTCCTCAAGCAAGACACCCTATATGAAAAAAATAGTAGCGCATCTAAATAGAAAATTTGGGAGACAAATGACCCTCCAATCTCTTATTGAAAGCCTCCATCGATGGATCAGCCACCGCTTCCGTTCCACTGAGGACCGTTCTCCTCGTCCTCCTTTTCATTCTATCTTTCCCTGTCATGAGGTTTCGATTTGGTCGATGGGTTTATTAATGATTTCTGCCTTTCATAGCTGAGCGCACACCCTTAAACGAAGGAAGCAGGGGAGTGGAATTTGTCAGGGGCCAACGGCGAGGTGGGGAAGAACGCCAGAAACGCACAGGTGGTTTACACTCCCGTTTTGGAATCTTGTTTGCCCTTTAGAAAAAAAAGTTTTTCATAACTCCAAGGTTTGACGAAGAAGGCTCCCCTCCGCTTTCTCCAACTCCTTGTATATTAATTTCAAAATAATTGCTGGATTTCTTACACCCTCAGAAAGACGAAAGCTTGACAGCTATGATTACCAGCGGTGCCTTTTTCCGTTTTTTCCCCGCCCTCTCTCTCTCTCTCCTAAGGGCCCTTTTAATCAGGAACCGGGACCGCTAGAAAAACAGCCCTACTTAAAATGCTTTGCAAAGGGTTTACTGACACATTGGACGAAGGGTTGGAGAGGATGACAGACCTAAAAAAAAATATGGATGAGAACCCAGGAATCGGACAACACAATCCCGCCCCCCCCTCCTGCCCGCCTTAAATGTGCTACACGTGAGCACAAAATTCATCGATCACTGTAGCTCTTAAGAGAGGGAGGGAGGGAGAGAGAGAGAGCCACAAAAATCCAGCTGCCAAAAATGTGTGTATTGTGAGAGAGGGAGAGAGAGGGAGGAAGAGAGAGAGAGAGAGAGAGAGAGAAAATCCAGTTAACAAAAATGTGTGTATTGTGAAAGAGAGGGGGAGGTAGAGGGAGGAAGAGAGAGAGAGAGAGAGAGAGAGCCATAAAATATCCAGCTGCCAAAGTTTTGGGGGGAAACTGACTGAACTTGTGACTGTTTTAAAAATTAGTCCTTAGTTGAGGAAAGCAAAGGGATTAAAAGGGGACGAGAGGAAAATCAAGTTTCTTGAGTTGCACTCCTTTCCATTCCTCTTCCTCTTCTATTCTAAGAAGGTGTGAGGCATTTTTCTTCCCAGTTTCTCCTTTGCAAGTTTGGCCTTACCCAAAAAAAAAAACTCCTAAAACCTTTCGATGTTTGAGCCTTGCCGTTGTCCTTTTTGTCCCCGTAGAACAAGCACGAGGAGAACCCGGAATCCGGTGAAGACCCGATCCTGAGCAAACGCCACAACCGATCCCTGATGGGAAGCCTGACCAAACGCAAGGTTACTCATTTGTTTCTCGGAAGGAGGGTCTGGAATAATTTTTGGGATAGCCAGGGGCGATCGGACACACAAGGGATTCGTCTCCGGCGCATAAGCTCACAATGTTCATCTCAACCACAGCAAATCATAGGTCTTAATCATAGTTACCGTCATTAATCATAAGTTAGAAACAACAATTGATGAATTTTCTCCCATGCCATCCCTCTGCTAAACCACTAAGTCCCATAGCACTGTCCAACTATCTATTAAGGCTGCATTCCTATACCTGTATCCTGATCTTTTTATGACTACAGCTTCGTTTCCTGTATCTTATGATTTATATTGTTTTATTTAGTACCCTAGAATGATTTATGTTGTTGCTTAGTAGTATTCTGTGACCATCACTAAGTGTTGTAGCTCATGATTTACGATGAATGTATTTTTTTCTCTTGTGTGTGTCCAGTCACACTTGGCCAATAAACAATTCTCTATTCTATTCTGCGCTCTATTTTATTCTGCATTTTATTCCATTCTATTCTATTCTGCATTCTATTCTATTCTGCATTTTATTCTATTCTGCATTCTATTCTATTCTGCATTCTATTCTGCATTCTATTCTGCATTCTATTCTGTATTTTATTCTATTTTCTATTCTATTCTGCATTCTATTTGCATTCTATTCTGCATTTTATTCTATTCCATTCCATTCCATTCCATTCCATTCCATTCCATTCCATTCTATTCTATTCTATTCTATTCTATTCTATTCTTATTTTACTCATAAGAAACCAATAGGGCAAGAGAACAGGGAAGATGAGAAATGAGACAATGCTATGGGAATGAGGGAAATCTTTATATCTGATTGTTTTGGCATGCAATGCCCCATAGCGGTGTCCTGGGGGAAGAAGTTGAAATAGCTTATGTCCAGGATGTGAGGGCTCTGAAGATATTTTCTCAGCCCTTTTACTGGCTCAAGCAGTACACAAGTCCTCAGTGGAAGGCAGGCTGCTTGCAATTATTTTTTTCCCCACAGTCCTAACTGTCTGTTGAAGTCTGTGCCTGCCTTGTTTGGATGCTGCGCCAAACCAGACAGTGATCGAGGCACAAACGACAGGCTCGTGGTTTTTGGTTTAATTTACTTTTATTCTGGGGTGTTGTTTTTTTCCCCTAGTGGGGATTAATTTTGACCCTGCAAACGGTCAGTTGTTAATTTCGGTTTCATCCCACCCCTTAGCTAGGATAATGTTTCAAAACCGCAAGCTGGAGAAAATTAGGACAGAACAAAGCAGTTCGCCAGGAAACCCATAAACGCACAACTTTAGAGGCTCGCGCAGCGTCTCTGATTTGATTCCGTGCTGAAGTCCTTGCGGGTGTGAGTTCTAACAACCAGGGCTACAAAGCAAGATCAGAACAAATCCCCCTTTTCTTTTTTTTTTTTTTGCAAAACCGAAGGCAGATGGAGAAGAGCCAAGCTGCTCCAAAGAGGAGTCATTACGTATACACGTCAAGTCCAAACCATATTGCTTTATGTCTATATACTAGCTTGATACCCAATTATCTCACCTTCATGGTAACAGGTAAACTGAGGTGTGTTTTCTTCCCTGCTTTTCTTTTCTTTTTCTTTTTTTTTTTTAACCCAACCCAGAAAAAATCCAGCAAACTCAAAAGGACGCCGAGTTTGGAAGACAGGGAAGACGACTTCGAATGCCAAGGAAACTTAAGTAGAACTTCGGTTCATTATAGCAAGTAAGTCTCCATGGTTTCAGAAAAAAATAATAAATAAATAAATAAATACTGACTTGCATCATTATATACAAGTCATTCTCAACACACAACTGCAATCGAGCCCCCAAATCACTGATGCTCAGCAAGGCAGTCGCTAAGTGAATTTTGTCCCATTTTTACAAATCTTTTTTTTGCCACGGTTGTTAAAGAAGGTCACTGCATTTGTTAAGTTAGTTGCACGGTCGTTAAGTGGATCTGGCTCCCCCCCCCCCTTAAATTTAGTCGCAAAAGGGGATCACATACCCTCCCTGGGACACTGCAAGCGTCATAAGTACGAGTCAGTTGCCAAGCCTCTGAATTTTGATCACTTGACCGCAGGGAGGCTGCAGCGGTTGTAAGTGTGAAAAACAGTCCTAGGTCCCCCCCTTTTTTTTTCAGTGATGTCGTAACTTCAAAACGCCCACTAAGTGAACTGTCGTAAGTTGAGGACTGCCTATATCTAATGGATTCAATTTAGCTGATGTTTAGACCTTAGTATTCAAAGTATTGTCACTTTGGTTGTTTCCTGTTTCCAAAACTGTAAAATCTTGAACTTAAACTGTGTATAACTTTAATATAAAACCCCTGGCATGGATTCTTGGTTTGGTAAGGTAGAAATTTCATCTCGACCAAATTCCAAACTCTTTGTCGGTTTCTTACTGTCTCCCCGCCACCCTGTCCGATGGATAAATCCATTTGGATCCGTTTCAACAATTTGTTACTGTTCCGACCCAGCTCCCCAAACAGGACAAACCCTCGGTAATTAAATGAATGATTCCTTTATTAAAAGCGCCAACAGCCCCGGCAAAAAAATCTCCCTCACACCACGCTCCCCAGAGCTAGGGTAGGGCTTCACTAGCAGCAGTGGTTCTTCCGTCTCAAGGACCGGCCCATAGATTTCCACTGCTCTCCTCTCCTCTGCCTTCTGTGCATCCGTGCGTCAGGCACTAGACCCGGCTGTTCTTCCTTTTCCTCACCAGTCACCTCCAGACCTGGGGGCTGTTGATTCTCCATCGGAAGGTGGCTGACGGACAGCCCAGGCTCCGTCTCTATCTCTCTCTTGCCATTCCCTCTTCCCCCTCGGAGCTCTCAGGTTGCCTTGAGGCTGACCCTGGCTCCCACGCCGCCGACTCCTCTGATTTGGCCACTGAAGGGGCCGACAGGCCACAACAGTTACCTCGTCGTTGTTTTTTGTCCTGCCAGAACAAATCGGCAAAAGAAAACGATGAAACTCTCCCGGGCTCTCTCCGATCTGGTGAAATACACACGATCCGTCGGAATCCACGACGTGGAATCGGAAAGTAAGTTTTCCCCGCCGTCTTTAAAAGAATGAGCGTTCCGTCAGTCTTCCTCTCGAAGCTGGCTTGTGTGTTTCTCACCCAGTGAAATGGCTTAAGTCAAAGCTGTTTGGGCTGGCCAATCAGGGAGGGCCGTTGCAGAGAAGGCGGGGATGGTGGTCAAGCTCTTCTCCAAAGCCCCTGAAGGCAGGACAAGAAGCAACGGATGGAAACTGATCAAGGAGAGAAGCAACCTAGAATGAAGGAGAGATTTGCAGTCAGAACAGTTAATCAGTTGTCTCCAGAGGCTGTGATTGCCCCAATGCATGTAGGTTTTCAAGAAAAGATTGGACAACCATTTGTCCAGAATGGTCTACGGCCATGAAGGTGAACCTACGGCACATGTGCCACAGGCGAACTTACCCCATTCCACATGCGTGTGCTTCACAGCGGATTTTTTGGCCAGTTTTTGGCCTTTTTCGGCCTCCCAGAGGCTTGAGGAAAGCTTCTGCAGGCTTCTGCAGGCCGAAAACTAGGCCCGTTTTGTCACTTCCTGTTTTTCTGAAAATACCAGAAGTGACGAAACGGGGCTAGTTTTTGGCCTGCAGAAGCCTGCAGAAGCCTCTGGAAAGCCGAAAAAGACCTCAATGTCCGAAAATCAGCTGTGAGGTGCAGTGCGGGGGTGGCAGGGGTGGGTTAGTGGGTGGGTGGGGATTGCGTGTGCATGCGTAGGGGGCATGGGGCGCGCACATTGCCTTCCGGGTGGTGCTGCTGACACGCGAGCGCGAGCATGCAAGCGCGCATGCAATTTTTGGCACAGGACCCCCAAAAGGTTAGCCACCGCTGGTCTAGGGTCCCCACGTGAGAAGTGGGTTGGACTAGAAGACCTCTGAGGTCCCTTCCAACCGTATGATTCTACGTTCTACGAGACGCTCTTGCTACATAACTAGGTATGGAGGAGCCCATCGGAACTTAGAGCAGTCATTGAGCAACTGGTCGTAAGTTGAGGACTATAAAGGAAGATACGTTGGGGAAAAGGTGGCCGAATGAGGGAGGCATTGACTTCCAAGGGGGGACAAATCCAGCCTTCTTTGGTCCCAGTTTCTTCCAGTTGGCAAGTCTCCTCCTTCAGCGAAACGAAAGCTCACCAAATCCTCCAGCAAAAACCGGCCCAGTATCTCCGCTTCAACCAGCACCAGCTCTCCCGGATCTACCCTTCTTCCTACCGGGTGGATTCCAGCAATTACAACCCTCAGCCCTTCTGGAACGCCGGCTGCCAGTTGGGTAAGGAACCCAGATGTTCGTAGCCCCAAGCCAGTGGCTCCCTTCACGCTTCCGTGCCTCCATTCTTTGGAGGGAGGGAGGGAGGGAGAAGGACATGGCGGATAGAGAAGCGAAGCGAAAGGAGACATTCGTGTCGGGGCCAGTTGCCCTGGAGGGAAACTGTAAAGCAGGTTTTTTTCTCTCGGTCTCTCTCTCTCTCTCTCTCCCTGTGTCTCTGTCTCTGTGTCTCTCTGTCTCTCTCTGTCTCTCTCTCTCTCTCTGTCTCTCTGTGTCTCTGTCTCTGTGTGTGTGTGCCTCTCTCTGTCTCTCTCTCTCTGTCTCTCTGTGTCTCTGTCTCTCCCTGTGTCTCTCTCTATCTGTGTCTCTCTGTCTCTCTCTCTCTCTCTCTCCCCCTGTGTCTCTCTCTCTCTGTCTCTCTCTCTCTCTCTCTGTCTCTCTCTCTGTCTCCCTCTCAGTGGTTAGAATGCCGTATTGCAGGCTGACTCCGCTCGGCTCCCTATATTTCCCATTTTTCCGTCCGTTTTAGTGGCCCTGAACTACCAATCCGAAGGGAGAATGCTGCAGCTCAACCGCGCCAAGTTCAGCGCCAACGGCAACTGCGGCTACATCCTCAAACCCAAGTGCATGTGTCAAGGTAAGATGTCCGTCTCGCGGTCTTCTTCCCTGGAGACTCTATTCCAGGGTTTCCTCTACTGTTGGGAATTCTGGGAGTTGAAGTCCAGACACCTTAAAGTTGCCACGGTTGAGGAACATGGTTCTGTTCCGTGGACTTTCCAACTCGTCTCCTCAACTTCCTTGGGCCAGGCCTTGTTGCACTTCACAGGGAGCATCTCTTCGTTCTCCCAGCATCCTCTTGTAGTGTGCAAATGTTCCCAGAGAGCAAGCCACACTCCTTCTAGCACTGATGACGTTACCTAGTTGGGTAATGAAATGTCTGCAAGACTACAACCAAGCTCAGAAAACACCAAGGATCCCATGGTTCTTTTCTCCTTCTCCTTCTCCTTCTCCTTCTCCTTCTTCTTCTTCTCCTTCTCTTCCTCCTCCTCCTCCTCTCCACAACTTCTCGCCCTTCTAGCACTGATGACGTTACCTAGTTGGGTCATGAAATGTCTGCAAGACTACAACCAAGCTCAGAAAACACCAAGGACCTCACAGTCCTTTTCTTCTTCCTCCTCCTCCTGAAATGTCTGCAAGGACACTTCCCACAATATGTTTGGACCCGGCTTCTCGGGTCCAAAGACACACACACACACCCTGACAGACCCGAAACGTGGTTCCAACCCCACCTGTCCTGTCTACACCCCGTCTTCTGTCCATCTCTTCCAGGGATCTTCAACCCCAATTCCGAAGACCCGCTTGCCGGCCAGATGAAAAAGCAACTCGTCTTAAGGATCATCAGCGGACAGCAGCTCCCGAAACCTCGCGATTCCATGCTTGGAGACCGAGGCGAGGTAAGTCCCCCTTTTTTTTTCAGGGCCGCCGTAACTTTGAATGGTCATTAAATGAACTGGATTATCTGTAGTGGATGGCAAGACCTGCTGCTTTTCCCTTATCCGTGGGAAACAACTCCAACTTTTGCGGTGGGTGGGTGGGTGGATGGAGATAGAAAGATAGCGAGGGAGAAATGGATGGAGATAGATACGATGGATGGATGGATGGATGGATG